CCTAATAATGTACATTTCTGTTTATATATATGTGAAAAACGTGATTTTAAAGCACTTCTCAATGTATCTTTTAATTTTTGAATAGTTTGTGGATCAAATGATGATGGTTCTAAACTGGTTAATAAACTATTAACAACTGGTAATACTTTAGAAATTGTTGGTAAAGATGCTAGTGCTAATTGACGTGTAGCTGTTTCAAATGGTTTTAACGTACTCTAAATAGGAGAAAATTATTTGTGTTAAAGACAGAATAAAATGAATAATGTATCTCATTTGTTTCGCTGATAAATTTAAATTGACTCACATTGATTACATAGCTTAACTAATTCTATTATATTTCCTTATTCGTCCCTGTCTGAAATTGACGTTATTACGTTTCTTACGTAAGAAGTTCATCATTACGTTTATTCGCAAGCAGAACGGAACTAAGTTATACGAATAATCGATTCTTCGTAATGAGACATAATAATGAAGTGAAGAGAACGAAAATGAGACAGTTCTTCTTTCTGCCGCTTCGTATGCTTCACATTAAACGTATTCGTTCTATTCGACTTCATTACGGCCCATCTCTACATATTTCTTCATGTGCACCATACATTGGTCACGTTTGACAGAAAAGGAAAACAAGTGAAATGTTTCATTTGAATGTTCTCTTACTTTGTATGCTGCCAAAAGATATTATTCATAAAAATTATTGAATTTGGTCAAATAATCGATTATGGTAAGACGAAAAGAGTGTTCAAATGGTTACCGCGGATTAATTGTCAAACATCATTTGTCTGATAAGAGTTTACAAGAAATTGCCAATGTTATATTTATTATGTTTTATTATTACGTTTAAAACGTCTGGGTTATGCATGCACCTATTCAGCTAAGCCACTGAGTTATTGGAATCGTGCTATATGGCAGAGTTGTAACCAGTCCGGCCGGATCGGACCGGCAGCGTCAGTTGAACCGACCGGTTTTTGCCGGTTCCATAAAGTTGTGCATATTCGTTCATTTTCCATCCCGAAGGCATTATGCATGTCTGCTTAGTAGTTCTTTTTAAAAGAAAGGAAGAGCGACAACTTGCGACAAATAAAATTTTTATTTGAAATGTAAATTCTATTTTTTGTTATTCTTTCAATTTGTTTTCAAAAACCAAGTCATATTATTTACTGTTTAAAATATCTTACCAATCGGAAATTGTCCCGTATTGGATGTTTATATGCTTTTATCTTTTTTCTTTAATATTAATCCAATTTTTTACTTTCGATATGCCGATACCGTAGTCTCTTAACTGATATGCAAATTCGTCCTAATTGGCTTTGTTATTTGACTTAGTGAATCTCTTGCCAAATTTATTTTCAAATTATTTGTGACGTTTTGTCATTCGACAAATTATTTCTTCAGACTATTAAATTTACACACTAACTGTACATACACTCTGCGAAACAATACAAATTAAATAAAACTAACTTGACGGTTCTTTTTCCTGTATCTCCTTTCTTTCTTAACTCTTTAATAATGATACGGAAAAAGACGGTATAGTAATACACTGGGTGAATGAATCGTTTCCGTATCAAGTGTATTACTATAGCGTCTTGTTCCGTTTCATTATTAAAGAGTTAAGAAAAAAAGGAAAACGAACCGTCAAGTTAGTTTTATTTATTTTGTATTGTGAAATAGGACGTCAGACTTAATAATACAAATATAGATACATATCTAATAAACCACAAGAATCTAAACAACTACATTTAGTACTATCGATGTCCTGACAACGTATAATAAAATCTATAAACTACATATCATACATTTTTAATTAATTAATTTTTCTTGGGATTATCCGAGTGTGATTGAACAGCTGATCTTACCACTCCTCCAGCAAATGTTTCACTGATTGGCTAAGTGAAAAAGGACAAGAACAAAAGGAAGAAAGAGAAGAAAACATGCGCCTCTTCGTATTTTTATAAGTTCAACATTGCAAAATTAAATAAAATAATTTCTTAATTTTGATGAACACGAACAATTTTACCGCACAGCAAATTCAAAGCCAAATAAAATCTAAATTTTTTGAATAAGTTAGTATTAGTTAGTAGAAAGGTAATAATGAAATATGGAAAAATGATGTATCTTTAGTTGGAAAACAAAATGAAAATGGTGTAACTGATATACTAGAAGGTTGGGCAGTTTGTTATATTACTTACAGAACATATTCTAAAAAAGGCGATGATGGTAAATGAAAAAATTATGGATTAAACGGTATACATGAACATTTTAAACAATGTAAATCGAAACCAAACTGAAAAATAAATTTAACTAATAATCAAGGAATTATAGTAAAAAACTATTACCAGAAAAATATAAATTAAAACTTAATGCTGAATTAAAATTTGTGGTGGCCGGTTCACATTCATTTAATTCATTAGGAAATGCTGATATTTTACAGTTAGTTCAAACTGGTATTAAAATTGAACTAATATTGGTTTAGTAGATGTTAAAGATATATTTTATGGAGGACAAACTATTCTGGAAGAAGCGTTATCAAAATCTGATCAATATACTCATCAAATACGTTCTTTATACGTTCGATACACCTGTTACTACTGATCAAGGATCAAATATGATCAAAGTTTATGATTTAATTTTAACCTATGAAGCAAAATATCCTTGTTTAGTATACCGAACCAATATTGTTTTGGAAACAGCATGGAAAAATTTGAAAATCAATAATACTGAGTTTAAAAATTTCTGTACATCTGATAGCCCGGTTTATATTGATAACTAAGTCCAAGTGTGTTTCGTAGTAGTTTATTTCGAAAAATGAATTGTTAACTCCCACGGAATCGAGAGCTTATATAGTGTAGATATGGCGTAACTATTATGCAATAAATAATTACACAATAAGAAATGATTATGCAATAACAAGTAACAACTGATTATGCAATAAGAAATAGCAACTGATTATGCAATAACAATTGATTATGCGATAACAATTGATTACGCAATAACAACTTCAGTCTTACATGATGTCTGAGGACAGCGAATCATGTAACAACATCGGTTGGTAATCTTCGTCCTTATTGTCAACAAAGCGGTGCGATTCAATTAAAATTACCTAGAACATTGAAACGTACAAGTGATACATATCCGTGGCGCTCCTATTTTTTATACACGATAGTTTACATTAATTATATGAATCGTTACTGGTGTTATTACGTCAGCGTGGTGAACAACATCGTCTTCTACGTAGTAATCCACAATTATTATCTGAAATAAGTACGTTCATGGAAAAATTTAGTTTGATTTTCAATAATTTAGAATTTTCAAATCGACCAACATTGCAAATTCCATTGTTATTCAAGCTATTATTTAATGGGTGAATATTGTACTATCGACAATGTACGAAAAAATTCCATTATAAATTTATTAAAAGCTGAAATTGCTACCGAATTCGACGACAAATATCGGACATCAACAACATAATTGCATTGGATCGCATCGAATGTTGATCTAACAGTTAAACATTTATTGTTTGTTATAAATGCATCATATTTACATGAACAGAAGAAATTGATCAAAGATGGTATTCACATTTTGGCTAACGATTACAAGGATATTATTTTATCAATAAATGCATCATCACATGAAATTAATTCACCATCAACAAAAAAGAAAAGATCCCTTTGCAGCAATGCGGGGTGAACGAGCAACAGCCTCTTCAATTACAGTTTCAGCAAATTTATTTACCACTGATATTGAACGACAAATCCAAATTTATGAAAATACACTGTACGAGTCAGAATTCAGTGTATTTGTATGTAGTGGTAGTGTTCAAGTTTGGAGAATAAAAGGAGAGGAGTACAGACGCGGTTGCATGGCACCAACGAATTATGAAAAGATGCTATAAAGCCATAGTTATCTAATAGTCAAAACATCAAGTCTTTACCAGGTTTGTTCTAAAGGTTTGGAAAACAACCAAGGCTCTTATAATTTGAAAAGTATCGTAGAACATTATAATTATGTCTAAAAGTCGGATTGCTGATATTATAATTGTGCGTTACCAGTAAAATATTGTTTGTCGGGAGCGATGAGCGAGAGAAAATTTAATGCGAACAGGACATACTCCTTTGTGATCTAATAGAATCAAAATATTATTTAACCCTGAATTTTCGAGAGTTGAACTATTTTCAATCAATATCATAGATGAAAATAATTTTCATTCATCATACTGTACGTATTCTAAATGACAAGACATTCTCGTCGGAATATCACTTGTGCAGCATGATGGCATTATTCTGCGCCTAACTATGATCTACTAGTTTCTGCCAATGGCAATTATCTACAAACACCAGAGGATATTTTTTATAAGTTTCAAGTCAAAGGAAGAAATCCAATCTAGAAAATTTTTTTTCATGTAATTCACAAAAATCAAAAATGTACTAAGCAAAGCATATTGTATGAATCTTGCTAACTATTTGCCGCCAAAATGAGAAATTTTCAGTGCAAATAGCAGAAAACTTGACAGATCCTTAAGAGAATAATGTTTTTTTGTAAACAGAAGGTGTTTTGATCGCCTAACTATGATCTGCAAATTTCTGCCAATTTCTGCCTACAAACATCAGAGGATATTCCTTTGACTGAAAGTCTAGGGTCATATGAAATAAATATCGGCGTCGGCGTCCGCATGTGACGGACGTACATACATATAGTCATGTGACAGTGTGACGGACGTACATACATATAGTGACCAGTGAGTGTGACGGACGCACATACATACAGTGACCAGTGAGTGTGACGGACGTACATACATATAGTCATGTGACAGTGTGACGGACGTCAATGATAATTTTTCGAAAAAAGTCAGCATTAGGAACTTTTCGAACTGTGGCAAAAGAGACCCGTTTCTGCTAGAAAGTGGCCCAGTATGATTTTGAATCAGAATGATCGCAAATGCTTCCATTTTCACTTCCCAACACTTCCCACTCTCATAAATTCCTTCTGCTGTCTTTCAAACAAAAATTACTGTTCGTTTTTCGCCACCAGTTCAACAAAAGCGATTTACATTTTTCCGCAGTTTTATCGTCCGATTTCCCCTATTATCAGCTTTTCTCAGGAA